GCAAAATTGCTATCAGCAGCTGATCGGTATAATTTAACACGACTCAGGAGGTTGTGTGAGTCTCATCTCTGCAAAGATATCTCTGTCAACTCTGTTGCACAAATACTCGCTTTAGCAGACCGTTACCATGCCACTGAGCTCAAAGCAGTTTGCCTAAGATTCGCTGCTGAAAATCTTGCTGGTACGAGGCTTTTTATATTTGCGTCATGTTCCCTTCTATGCAGAGAACTCATGCTTTTGGAATAACAATTCTTTTGCATCACCACATGGGTTGGATTGGAACAAAAATAAATGTTATAGTTTGTTATATCTTCTCATTTCATAGTCCTATCATGTTTGTCATTGTTGTACCACTCTAAGTTGCTCGGACTCGGGTATCCGAGACGGGGACGGATCCGAGTATCGGATTTGGAAAAATCTAAATTTTTAGATTCGGGGATGCGGATGCGGATCCGGATCCGGATATGGATACGGGTGCGGGGATTCGGCTAATAAAAAATAGAGCTATAAAAATATTGTAAATTTTGAGAGATATTTTGTGAAAAACTTACATGAATATTGTACAATTCAATCTTTCATTCTCCAAGATGGACATTATTCTTTCATTGTTCTAAATATGTTTTATTTTTGATTTTGAGAAATCAAAATCTCAATTTTTCTCCCAAATTTATCGATGGACTCCGGTCAAAGTGTCCGAAGTCAGTTGACCGTATTCGAGACGTATCCGTCCTGTATCCGGACGGGGCACCAAAATCGAATAGTCCGTGCAACTTAGGACTACCACTACTTCAGTCAGTATTCCTTGTCAAATATTGTTGCCATCCACTTGTCTATCTCTTTTCTTTTATCTCTGTAGTGTAATCTAGCTGTAGTGGGCACGGATACAATTTCTAATGCTTTTCGATGTTTTGCTTCTGTCTCTCTTATTGTTCATTCTTGGGCACTATAATTTCCACAAAGTAGATCATCATTTTAGACTGATCGTATGTGCGGATACTTGGTAACTCATGACAAAAGGATCCAATAGTATGATTTTGTATGTCAAGTCATTTCCCGTGGATCACCTAGTGATTTTTTTTGGTCTACGCTGGGATTTGAATGCTGGTCCTCTAAGGTTTTCATCCACTTCATTGACTACTAGGTCACACCGTTAGGTGTTTCAGAAATTTCAATCTTAATAAAAACAAAGGCCGCCTTAGTGTCTTTAGATAGCAATCGAGCTGAAACAATTATACTGAACTATTCTTATAAAAAAAAAAACAATTATACTGAACTAGTATTGAGGAGAAAGAGAAAATTACAGTTGGAAGGCTTAGTCTTTGTTCGTTGATAGGGAATTCTATCTTCTCATGGAAAAGCAGAGGAAACTGAAAGTTGCATCTCCTGAGGTCAGATAAGAGAGCTCTTTCAAGTTGACTCTGTTCCGAGAATTGTTGGTTTCTAAGTTGTTTTCTTTGAGCAGTGAAAGGACTTCTTTCTTTGTCTTTCTCTCTTATTTCTTTCCCCACTCCCTTCCTTCATGCAAATATAACAAAGGTGCAATTATCCCGGCTATATACCTCTGCATACGTCCCAGCAAGCCCCATATAAAAAGAACTTCTGATCTCCAGCCAATCCCCTTTTTGTCACTTTGACATTGGCAGAACATTCACAAGGACAAAGCAAAAGAGGAAAAAACTCAATAGTGAAACCAATGAAGTGACTTATCAGGAAAATGAAATGAATGAAGTGGATCACTATCCTCATCTGGCAGAGCTAGGACAACAGAGATAGATTTGAGCTTGTGAACTTTGGCATGGACCCTCTTGTCACTTAACTTGCTGATGCAGACATCAAATCCATTATAGATGATTTTGTGGGTTAATACACCAAGTTAACTTTTACCAGTCACTACATCCCCTTAAATTGCACCTGCGAGCTCCCTGGGAGAGGGGATAAGAAAAAGCTCCCATTTTGATTAGAATCTCTTTTCTTGTTTAAGAATGAACCCCAACTCAATCTACCAACCACAAAGCACGAAGGTCTAATTCGGATATTAAGCGTCTAACATGCCTTGCTTGTGTCATTTCCACCTGCCAAAAGCACCAAAGGAAGTGAGCTGATTTTGCTATAAAACCTATATCTTGCCTTGCATTTGTCTTCACGTTTCTGGGTGTTCCACTCTTGTGCATCTCTATATTCAGGCCTAGTGGTTAGTTATATTTTTACCGAGATTAATGGGTGCATATGGGGTCCAACACCTATTTTGAGAAATAAAAATAAATTATCTTCAGAATGTATGTAAATAAGGAAATTGTTGACTTTGTGTCGAAGAAGAAATTTCCTAACTACCAAACCATCATAAACTGTTAAAACAGAATTGGTGGGTGTTGAGTTGTGTCCCACATCAGTGGGTAATGGGTGTCTTGGTCTCCTTATATGGTCTTGGGCAATCCTCACCTCATAAGCTAGCTTTTGGGNAAATTAAATTCATTAAAAGGCACCAAGAAGATGCAAAGAGTACAGAAACTAACAACTTTTCATCTAAATTAAATTCATTAAAAGGCACCAAGAAGATGCAAAGAGTACAGAAACTAACAACTTTTCATCTTGATATTGAAACAGCTTTAGCCATCAAAAGACCATACACTTTTAAAGCAAAAAGTAATGGTACTTAGCAAAGCAGCTTTTTTGGCTCGAGTGTGAAGGGATGTTAAATGGCTTTGTCGTAGCCTTTCGTAAACTATTTAGGAAGGAATAATGCACCCTACCACCCCCACTCCCCAAAAAAAAAACCGATAGGATGTGTAATTGGGTGCAAAGCATAGATCGGCATGTGCTATTTCTGGTGCTCTTGGTGGGTACTATGAAGCCCGCTTCTTGTAAAAGTAGATTTTGACTTTTGTTTGCAAATAAGTTTTCTGGTAAAACATCTGAAAGTGATTAAGAGGATCAGAAATTTCTAGAGAAATGTGAAAATAACTTCTTGAGGTCTATAACTTTTTAGAGGGTAAGCTATGCTATCCAGTAAGAGATTTCTATTAATTTTAATGTTGCTACGAATGCGGCTGTTACACATTCCCTTGCCTATCTAATGGCTGAAGACTGTCATTAAGTTGCCGGGCTTTGACCACTGCCATATTTTGAAATTTGCATCTGTTGTATTCTGTACTTCTCTTGCACCAGAGGTTTTCACTCATATATTACTTGGTTATATTTTGCAGCTGTCATGCAATCAGATGGGTTCGAATACCTTAAAGAACATAGCCCGTCTCTTCAGTCAGAGCTTCTTAAAACTGTGGCTGGTTGTGAGGATGATTGTAGCAGTGGAGGTGGTAAGTCCAAAAGTGTGTGGGCCCAGCTTTCAGACGGTGGTGATACCAATGGAAGGAGGGTTAGGCAAAGGACCTGATTTTAGAAATAGGAAATTGTTAAAATTTGTTGTATTGTATATTGAAGGGGATGTGCTGGAAATGTTGGGAAATTACAACATTAGCAATAGAAAGGTAAATGTTCATTAGTTGTCTGTAAGATATTTGATGAACATCTCTTGTGTGATACTGGTAACCTGAAAAGTGACAAATAGCCAGTTTGTACCTTCATAATAACCAGTGACAAATACATATTCTCTTGCTATTGCTACTATGAATAGGTAATTCCTCCCAGTTGAAGGATAGTGTTGTTTGTATTTCAAGCATATGTTATCGCATTGTGCAATCTTGATGAACAGCCTAGTTAAAAGGTGAGAGCTTCCGTAAGAACTGGAGGAAGCAATTTGGCTTGTGATAGCTGGCTGGGAACTTTATAAGGTCCTCTTGATTGTGATCTGGACTTCTTACTCTTTGATGTTATGCTGATATATAAGAGTTTGCATATATTTCTTCTTTTGGTTGATAAGTAGGCTTTTGCACGAACTATAAGGTTTTACTAGCCAGAGTTGTTTGGAGAAGTAATAGTGTTGGAAAAAGCATATTTATCTACTATTTAATGGGTTTTATTGTTGTTCTGAGTAGCTTATACTCCATTTCTTTTTTTCCCCCTTTTTTGTAAAAGCTGCGCAGGGCGGGAGGAGAAATTGTTCAGGAAAGAGAAGAAGAAAGTTAATCTTGTGATTATTGGCCAGAAAAAAAAATTGTTCCTTAATGTTTGCTGTTCTACTTAGTTCAGTTATCTGGAGACGAATATATTCGGTTTGTACTTTTTCTGGTTATCTTTGAAATTATTGTGTTCGCACATTTGTTAGTAAAGGTTAATGTGTTCAGGCATTTCTCATGTAATTTCTGAGTCTCTGAATGTTAAAAGTAAATTAATTCATCTAGACTGAACTGGTCTTTGCCTCAAGGTTAATTGGCAAAACTAGCTCTTTGCTCGAATGAATTGAACCTTCGCCTGATCTGTCTCAAACTTTTGCTTTCAAAATACAAAAGAATTTCAACTATCAAAGTCAATACTAATTAACTAGGAGAAAAGATTGTCGTTGATTTTAATTTTTGGCCAGTCTTCTCATGAATTCACTTCAACAGACCGTCTTAAGAAAAAATAGAATAAGATTATTTTCTCGAATAGTAATGCTCAAAACTTTTCCCAACCCCTTCTCTCCACATATATGCTATGTTACATGGAGTGTGACAGTGGTGAAGGTTCTTCGTAAAGATTTTTCAAAATCACCAAAAAATAACACAACTACATGTACTCCTAGCAAATAACCGAGTTCACGTAGCATAACATATACTAACATGTAGGAATATAAGCTTTTAGCCCTTAAAACAAGGCTGTTTGTGCAACAACAGTAACAGTGCAAACCTGTTTGATTCATTTAGTACTACAAGACTGAATTGGCAGAGTTATAATAGTCTCCAGAAACCGGCTCTCAGGCAGTACTGAAGATGACAACAGTATATTACTAACAAGATCAATGCTACCCACAACGGATCTTCAGACAATCATAAAAGTGAATGTCACAGGTGCTTTGCATTCCTAATCAACACAGTGGAATTGAACAGCGAGAATATAACGCAACATAGAAGAATTCGTGTTTTCAGTTGATTTCCACAAACGGTATGCAACTCCATTGGATGCAAAATATTACATTGTCTTGTATAGTCGTTTCAGCTGTGAAAATTACATTTTTATCAAAATGGTGTTGGTAGCACATTAGAAGTACCGTACTCTCATTGAGGTTAATGGTTATTGACTAGACAGTGGACACAGCATCCCGCAGAAGAACCAAGTCCACAACCAGATTATGTGGTACTTACCATTTGATGGAGTCCCTGCTGTAATCATTAAAAAAAAAAAAAAAAAGAACAGACCCGAAAGCATATCTTAATTCCATATGGTTCTTACCCCTGTTCTGTTGTGGGACAAGGAGAGCAAAGCACGAATCCATCCTGGAATACAACGGGTGGTTTGATAACTAACTCAACCTTCTTCTGCTTAACCTTGAATCATTCAAAATCATAGAGAAATCTAATGACATAAACAGTTGTACACGTTCAACTCTGCAGATAATTCTGATAAGTCAAATCGATAACCATTCTCACCAGCCACCATCGCTATTGACTGGGGGGCTCATCCAATGAACCTCCGTAGGGGTATATTCACTCAACACTGATGCAGCAGAATGTCCTAAAGGAGAGATTGGGTTACTGTAAGTTCCCCACTGTGTCTCTTGGAGATCAGGACATGAATCATCCACTACATCACAAGAAGTCTCCTGATGTGAATTATGCTTTGAAGCTTTGGATGTTTGTGATTCATAAAGTACAGCGTCCAATAGACCACTGTTCCGAGGTGACAGACTGCCCGAATCAGCATGCTCATTTGGAGGGTATTGAATCAAAGTATCGAAGGACTCAAGTGAAGGAAGTGGGGAAGGTGAACCCCAATTTGCCATCTGAATTTGGAGTGAAGGGAGCTCCAGCTTCTTAGCCCATTTGGGCTCTGAAGAAGAAGAGTTGCCATTTAAAGGGGCATGGCTGCCAGGAATTTCACCGGAGAATGATGGGTGATTATCAGATGTCAGATTATGTGTATATGACGAGGAAAACCCCAAGGATTGAGCAAACAAAGAACCATTATTTTGATATTGATGGCAAGCTTGAAAAAGATTATCAGTCATACCAAAGAACCAAGATTCTGATCCTCGTATACGCTTGGATGGATGCATTGTTGAGAGGCCAGAACAAGTATTAGAAGAACTAAGAGCCTGAGCCAGCAGGCTAGTTGCAGGAATATCAAAAAAGCTACTAGCAGCAATATTAACAAGTGCCCAAGGATACAGCTGCTGACTAGGTTCCAATTTTTTGAATTCCACAGTTGGAATCTCAAAATCGTTAATAGGCAAGAAATCAGGATGTGAATTTGCAGAGGAGAAAATTCCCAGCTCATTATTTTGTTTGTTCTCACTAAATGCCTGGAAACAAATATCCGGAGGATATATTTGCAAGCCTACACGCCGTTGTTTCTTTATTCTGGTATTCCAGTAGTTCTTTATCTCATTATCTGTGCGACCTGGCAACTGGAAAAATGGAAAAGCCATGAAAAATTTAATAAATAGCCGTTATTCAACTTTAAAGAATGTGTCATATAGCACTAATCACTCAATTGAGAAAGTTCACAGAAAATCAGGTTTAGAAAGTATCATCTGAAATAATGAAAGCTACAAAACTAAGTCTCTTGAAAGAAAGAGGAGAGTCCACATTTTTAGTCCACAAAAATTTATATCCAAATATGCTTTGCATACAAGTTCTGCCAAGCATAAGGTCACCATTTTTTACTGCATAATATATACTGCAAGAGTTCAGCCAAAGCAACATTCAGATGAAGGAGAACAGACCAGGATATTACAAAAGATAGAAAAGGAACAAAGAGAATCATCATTCTGTAACTTCATTCTCTCCTTTTTGCCTGGAAAAGATATTGGCTGCTACTCCACTCATTTGAATCAGAACTTATTCCGTCCTGGCCAAGGGAGCACTAACAACCAACCAACCAACACCTATGTCTCAATCCCAAACTAGTCAGTGTCCACTGTATGGAACCTCTATATCAACAAAGAAAAGGATGAATCCTCTATGTCTGCCCTATTCGGACCATCTCCAAAAATGGTAACATTTTGTCTTTTTAGGCAATTTAAGCTAGCGTTTGGCCATAGATTCCAAAATTTGATTTGGGTGAAATTTGATTTGAAGATGAAAATGTGTTTGGACATACGTTTTCAAAACATATTTCCCAAATTTATTTTGGAAAAACATGTGTATTATTAGGGATTTAGCCCAAAACCAGCTATTGAGCTGGTTTTGGGATTTGGATTTTGCTTGTGTTTGCCAAATAAAGCCCAAGTTTATTTTGGCAAAATCTATGGCCAAATGGGTCCTTAAGAGTTCACTAAAACAAGTAGTCCTCTAAATCTAACTGCTACTCCTACCCGGACCTAATGTAAGTGTAAACATAAGTAAACCTTTTTTTATAAGGTGGTATTAACCTGCCAACCACATCACAATATTACATAAAAGTATGTCAAGGCTGAAATTTAGAGGCGGACCTACATTCAGACGTAAGGGTGCAACCGCCAGCTTCTGGTATGTCTCATGCAAATGTACAGAACTTTTAAGAAATAGGATATATAACTAAACTAAAGCGGCACCTGCCATCACAACATTCTAGTGGATGCACAAGGCTACTTAAGCTCTAAAGGCTGCACTAGTCTAGAAAAGGCTCTAAAGGCCCTCTGATTGTGAACAGCTAGATTGAACCACTAAAGAAGGATAACTTTTTCAAATATCTTCATCCTGCGCAGGAAAGCTCTTTCTTTTCCTTGTTTCTTTTTCTTTCTTTTCTTCTTTTCAAACTAGTCATTTCGATGCTTTTCGCCCTTCACAACATTGTTGCATGTAGAGCACTTCTTGTTACTACTATTTAAAGTCAACTTGTAAAACATAGTATCTATCCAAATAAGGTGCAAACCCAACATAACATATGGAAACAAACAACAGCTCTTACTTAACAAGTTCCAGATTCATAGACGATGATTGCCTGAAGTCTACACTTTACTCCCAACTTCTTTCTTCTTGTAATTTTTTCTAATAATTTACTATTAGGATACAACAGTATTGGCAGTTCATCACAAAAGGATATTAGACAATGATCGAGTCTAAAAAATCTCAGATCTGAGAACTTGATTAGGAAATAGGAGCAGGAGGGCTCCCCCCCCCCCCTTTTTT